AGGACTCGAATCCAGAATACATAAAGAACTTCCACAAACCGGAAAGAAAAAGATAATTCAAATTTTTAGAAAACTTCTGCAAAAGACACGATGAACAGGCACCTCACAAAAAGATCTCCAAACGGCCAAAAGGCATACGTAAAGGTGGCTGCCACAACTACTCACCAGGCAAAGCACACTAAGTCACGTGAGTACTCAGCACGTCCACTGGAAAGACTAACATTGGAAAGCCTGACTCACTCAGGAGCTCCCAGACCCTCCCACGGTGAGTGCAGGTGGGAGGGCAGATCATACAACCACGCTGGAAAACGTGTGGCCATATCCACGGAAGATGCCCCCAAAATCCCACTCTCAAGCACGTTCCCAGGAGACGCTGGCGCCCGTGTCCACTGAAGGAGGACGTACAGGAGTGTGCATGGCAGCCCTAGACACAGCAGCCAGAATGGACCTCTGACCATCCCCCGAGAGGAAAAGCAGACACACAACTGTGTCTCTCACATGAGGAAGTTCTGCACGGCAGCAAACGGATGAACCGCCGATCTGCAGCCAAGGACATTCTCTGAGTCCAACTGTCTCATGGAGCAGAAAACAAGCAAAACCAACCTGCAAGAGGCAGCTTTCTGGGCACAAGAAACACGTCCTACCTTAATCTGTGAGGCACACCTTACTCCCCACAGACTTATCCAGCAGGTCACTTAAGGTCAGTTCACTGTACCTGTGTTATACCAAGAAAAACAGACACAAAAGAATAGAAAAAAAATTTCCCTGAGAAATGTCTCCCAAAGAAAGGGCTCATCAAGTCAGTCAGTCCAAAAGCTGCAGCCTCATGGCACTCCAGAACCCCAAAGACAGAGAAAACCCCAAAAGGCCCCAGTTAAGAAAGGACAAGAGACTGAAACGCAGACTGCGGTTCGACTCCCTCACTAAGGACACGGGATGGCCACTGCCCACTTTCAGGGGGACCCCTGCTCCCAACCCCACCAGCACCCCCGGGGGGAAGACAAAGCCCAGTCCCACACGTGGAGCCCAGAGCTCCTCTCTCTCCGACCCGCTCTAACCACGACCTGAGCACGTTCCCAACAAAAGCAGAGAGGACCCATGAAAGGGACAGGTGTGGGCACAGGAGCAAAGGGAGGGAGGGGGAGCTGGCCAGCCTCCATGTGCAACCCCAAATGATGGGGGGTCCAAGCTGTCAGCACGTTCCATTTCCAACTTTCTTGTTTTCCAAGAAAGGCACCACAACTGAACAAATAGGAACAGCTGAAGCTACATTCAGAGATTTCAACCAAACCCACCAGGCTGGGGTGGGCGGCGGGCAGTGAAAGCAGCGGGAGTCTTCCCCGGTGGGAGGACGCCGACGAGCTCAGCCACCGAGAGAAGCACGTCTCTGTGAACACGCCCAGGTGACTACTAAGAGAGGTGACACCACGAATAACCCCGCACCGGGCAGCAGCGGAGCAGGCAGACACGGAACAAGAAGGAAAAACAGAAACACAAACGCCTTTCAATCAGCAACGGCAGGAAAGGTTTTTTAAACAGATAAATACACAACATGAAATAGGAGGCAGAAACAGCCCCAGCTCATCAGAACTGCACCAGTTACGTCTCTCAGAGAACGTGTGGAAAACATGCTAGAATCTGCCCTTTATCCCTCCCCTAGAGCTACAGAAAGTGACAGCAAGGTGATAAAATCAGCATAAACTCAGCAGGGCAAAGAGAAAAGGAATGACAATCTCTGAGGACAGAAGAGGTCAGCAGGGCCCGGGGCCAAAATCAACAGAATCTCAGGGGCTGGACCCGATGGCCTCCCTCAGCCCCCTGGCCCCAGGCCCAGTCCTCCCCAACAACCCGCTCTGAGGAGTCTGCAAGTTCTGCTCTAAGTTCTTACTTAAACCAAGCATTATCTAAAGCTTTTTTTTAAGTAAGATGGATTATTCCTCTCTCTTCATTATCAGTTTCCAATTTTACTGACATGGATATGTCTGCATGAATGCCACTCTTTACATTTTATTTAGGTCCAATGTACAACCTACTCTAGTAAACACACCATGGGTTTTTGGAAATACATACCTTCTCTACAGGAAATAAAGCTCTTCACATGAGAAGCTCTTAAAGTTAGCCAAAGAGAAAAAGAAAGCTTATGTGACACACCAACTGGGCCTTGAGGCTGTGGCCAACACCAGGTGGACGTGCAGGCCGGAGCACTGCTTGAGCCACGGAGGGTCGGGCTGCCAGCAGGAATAGTTCTAAATTTCTATGCACTAATAACAGAGTCTTAAAACAGGCAAACCCAAAACCAACAAAACTCTGGGTAGAAGTGGACACATCCACGTCATCCTGGGAGACTATACTGTGCCCTCTCAGTGACAGACAGAACAAGCAGATGCAAAGTCAACGTGCATGGGGAGGAACCTGACCTCAGTACCACTTACCGCAGAGACAACACCAAGTGCCCAAACGAACCATAACCGACCACAAGCGGGCCGTAAGCAAGCATCAAATTGTCTCAAAAGACTGATATCCTACCGCATACGACCTCTGACCTCAGCAGAATCAGGCTTGAAGCAGGAAAAGAGCTAACGACATGGATCATAAACCCACGAGGTCAAAGAAAGAAGCACAATGGAAATCTAAAAACATATTACAAGCCCACCCCACCCTCATTGTAGTCGGCCGACATGGATGTCGGCCCTGCCGCAAGCAGTTGCTGGCCGCCCCAGCCACAGCGGCAGCGGGAGGGGAGGCAGGTCCTCGAGAGCCAGCAAGGTGCCCAGCGTGCAGGTAAAATGCTCCACGCAGCCCAGCCCACCATTCCAGAGTGCAGGTAAAGACCACACCGAATCAGGAGGCGCTCTTATATGCTATCACATTCCTGAGAGCGTCCTCATGGACATGTCAGAGGGGTCCCGGCAGAAAGCGTCCATGCCAGAGCTGACCCCAGCAGACATCATACCTAATGGTGACAGATGGCTGCTATCCCCTGAAATCAGGAACAAGAAAATTAAATAAAGGCTTCTAGGTTGGAAAGTAAAGTAAAGCCATATCTCTCTGCAGATGTCATGATCTTGAGTACAGAAAATCCTCAGGAATTCACTACGCAACTATTATAATAAATGAGTTTTGCCAGAGTTGCAGGATATAAGATCAATATACAAATATCTACCATATTTCTATACAATGGCAACAAACAATCAAAATAAAACTAAGAAAGCAATTCCATTTACAACAGCATCAAAAAGAATAAAATACTTAAGAGGAAATTTAACAAAAGAAATGTAAAACTCATACTCTGAAAACCACAAAAATTGTTGAAACAAATTAAAGAAGACCTAAATCAACAGAAAGACAGTCTGTGTCCGAGGATCAGAAGACTTCATCTCGTTAAGATGGCAATACTCCCCAAATTCATCTACAGATTCAATGCAATCCCTATCAGAATCCCAGCTGGCTGCTTTACAGAAATTGACAAGCTGATCCTAAAATTCATATGGAAATTCAAGCGACTCAGAATAGTCAATAAAACAATGTTAAAAATGAAGAACAAAGTTGGAGGATCTCAAAACTCAAAACTTGCTACAAAGCTGCAGCAACAGAAACAGTGTGGTCCTTTTTGGACCTGGTCATATTTACGGGCAATTGATTTTCAACAAAGGTGCCAACTGGCTAAACACCATCTCTTCAACAAGCAGTGCTGGGGAAGCTGGAGCTCCACAGGCAGGCGTGCAGCTGGGCCCTACCTGATACCATATGCAGAACCGACTCAGAGTGGATCGAAACCCAGAAGGAAGAGCTACAGCTGTGAAACTCAGGAGACGACACGAGCACGGATCTCTGTGACTGGACTGGGTTAGGCGTGTTTCTTCGTTACGACACAAAAAAGCACAGCAACCAAGAGAGAAACTGCACGTCATCAAAACTGAAACCTTCTTGCTTCAAAGGACACCTCAAGACAGGGAAAAAACAACCCCAGAATGGTGAAAATGTTCTATATATCGCATAACTGATAAGACTTATATCTAAAATACATGAATAACTTTTATATTTCAATAATAAGGAGACAAATAACCCAATTAAAACCAGGCCAAGTATTTGAATAGACATTACTCCAATCTGTTGTGGACTGGTACTGTTAAAAAATAAACGAAAATGGCAGTGCAGGTCAAATTGCCATAAATTTGTTCTTTCTGTGCTTATCTCCACTGAGACCAATAACAAACAGGTGAGGGCCCAGCAGGATCCACTGATCTCACCAAGCAGCCCTGGCAGAGACTCTTTGCAGGACACCCAGGAGGGTCCTGATGACCTGGGGAGGGGACTCCAGGGGGTCCTGATGACCTGGGGAGGGGACTCCAAGGGGGCCTGATGACTGAGGGACGGGGCTCCAGAGGGCCTGATGACCCAGGGGAGGGGACTCCAGGGGGGTCCTGATGACCTGGGAGAGGGGATTCCAGGAGGGTCCTGATGACTTGCAGGAAGGGACTCCAGGGGGTTCCTGATGACTGAGGGAGGGGACTCCAGGGGCGTCCTGATGACCTGGGGAGGGGACTCCAGAAGGGTCCTGATGACCTGGGGGAGGGAACTCCAAGGGGGCCTGATGACTGAGGGAGGGGACTCCAGAGGGCCTGATGACTGGCAAGAGGGGACTCCAGGGGGGTTCCTGACGACCTGGGGGAGAGGACTCCAGGAGGGGCCTAACGACCTGGGGGAGGGGACTCCAGGGGGTGCCTGATGACTGAGGGAGGGGTCTCCAGGAAGGTCCTGATGACTGAGCGAGGGGACTCCACAGGGTCCTGATGACCTGGGGGAGGGGACTCCAGGAGGGTCCTGATGACCTGGGGAGGGGACTAAACAACTGCGGCCAGAAGTTGCCTGCGCTGGGCATAGTGGGTGACAAGGATGCGAGGGTCACTGCAGGCTGCCTGCTCTTCTCCTTGATCCCACAGCCCCATTCCCACCCCCGGAACCCGCCCTCGTCCAGCAGCACCCATGATGGGAAATACCGTTCTGCAGGGTCTGTGCTCTCGACTCCTTTCCCAGGTTCACATGGAAGCCGCCACCCAGGGTTGGGGTTTTGCCAGCACCTAGAAACACAAACCAGGCTGATTAGGCACAACTGGGCAGAGAAAGTCTACCGTGACAGCCCTTTCACTGTACCGGGTAAAGTTTCTACAGCAAGAACACAGTGGGGTCAGTGCTCACAGCAGGAGGCAGCAGCAAGTGGGGCGCCCCCTGCCATTCACACAGACCGGCAAACCCTCTCAGCGAAGCTCCTCTCCCTCTGGCCTGCCAATGGGGCTGTGGCCTTGACCTGGAGCCATGGCGGGTACACCACGCCCATCTGTATTCTCTAACCATGTTCCAGACGCGCTCTAAGTCCAGAGTGGACCACAGTCCCATGGTGGCCAGGCGAGAGCATAGCTCGAATCCAAACTACAGCACCGGCCTGGCCTGTCCTGGGTCGCTCACCTCAGCCCTCCACATGCCCCGGGCCAGCCCGTTCACAGGAGTCACACCTGCACAGTGACAATTTGTTAATGCATCCATTTCCCCCTGGGACTGCAGGTTACTGGAGGGCAGGGGCCGTGTCCTGTGTGGCCTGGAGCCTCTGCGCCAGGCGGCCTGCAGGAGGTGCTCACGCCTCTATTCACCAGTGTGCCGCCCATCCACAGAGCGGCGGCCCAGGAAGCCCCAGGCCAAAGTGTGGCCACAGCCGCACCTTTGGGCACTCTGCCTTGGAACTCCCGCCATCTCCAAGCCACCCTAGGAAGTCCCATGCACCCTGCTCTGTAGGGCTCAGGGCTGGGGCTTCTGCCCTGTTACCCTTTGAAAACAGCCAGGTGGGCATCCGGATTGCTCACCAGACTTACAAGGTCCACCCTTGAAGCGCCATCTTCAAACAAGTACCACGCTGGAGCGAGGACTCAGGCAGCCGAGCTGGGAAGTGCCACCCGCCCCACAGGCCAGTGCGTTTGTCACAACGTACAGACCAAAGGATAGGAAGCCTCTGCACTTAGGGGACACGACCTTACAACCTCAGCCACATGGGAGAAGGCAAGGGTACAGGGCCCGTCAGAGGGACCGGGACATGTATGAGGACAAGATGGAAACTCAGAGTGACAGGGATCTGGGAACCCAGATCTCTGGAGTCAGGGAAGAGGCCCCCGGGGAAACCATGTGGCCCACGTCCTGGGGCCAGCAAGGACCTCGGGGTCATCCCTGGGCAACCAAACCAGCACAGACAGCACAGAACAAACATGGCCTCCCACTTATTGGTGACTGCAACCAAATCCCAGACCAACACTAGTTGGGGGGCCTCCGCATCCCCCACCACAGTGGCCCCCTTAGGGCTGAGCCCAGAGCTGGGCAGCATCCTCTGCCACCTCCTGTGGTTGCAGAGACCACAGGGCCAGCCCCATTTGGCGGGGAATGAGCACCGCCTACCAGTGGGGACTGGCCTGGAGCCTGCAGCCCTGTCCAGTAGAGTGTAGTGCCCAGGGACAGGTGGTAGGACCTGGAGGTTGCTTTGCTGTCTCACTGGGTGTTGGCCTCCTACTGCTGCCCTGACAGGTCACCACAGACTTAGTATCTTCAAGAAGCTGGCCACAGAGGGTGAGGAGGGATAAGGAAGAGCGCTGTGTCCTCATGGGGCTGGAGACGGCCAGGCAGGGCACACTGGGGGCCTGGAGAGGGGCCCGGGGAGACCGGCCCACCTGGCCCAGGAATGAAGGGGGCTTCCAACAGCACAGTGTGTTACCTGCGAGCTCTGCCGAAGCCTGACAGGGCCTCACGGAGCTGAGAGCAGGGGTCTGTATCTCCTACCCTCCTGTTTTGGTGGTGATGGCTTTTTTACACTTTAGAATTTTTATATTTGAAATCTTGTAGACACTAGAACCACTGAAGAAGGCACCATCACTCAGTCATCGGACCAGCACCGCCACATCGTGGCCTACTTGTTTCCACCACTCCCCAATTTTTATTTAAGACAAAGAAAAAAATCCCATGTTGGTTTAATTAAAATGGATATGTGCTTTTAATAAATAATTACAATAATATGGCATTAGAAAAAGGACAATGACATGGTACAAACCCCCTGAAGTCCCACCTTCCAAGAACAAGGATACTGGTGGCCTTCCTCCCAGCCACCTCTCCCTGCTTAGACACAGACGGAGGGCGGCCAGGACAGATCACAGAGGGATGCTGTGCTGAATAAGAGTGCAGACTTCCACGCCAGCCCTGGTGGGCTAGCGGTTCAAGTTTGGTGCGCTCCACTTCAGCGGCCCGGGGTTCACTTCCCGGTCACAGAACCACACTGCCTGCCTGCCAGTTGCCATGCCGTGGCGGTGGCTCACACAGAAGAACTAGAATGACTTACAACTAGGATATACAACTGTGTACTGGGGCTTTGGGGAGAAAAAAGAAGAAACAAGAGTGGAGACTTCCATCTTCATCGAGTGTTAAATGCAATCTCCACACTCCTCAACCCGCAATCTCCACACTCCTCAACCTGCTCCAATGCAGCTTCCACTCCCAGCACTGCCTCCAAGCCGCCCCCACAGCCCCCTGCCCCTGCCACCTCTGCCCTCCAGCCCCATCACTCTCCCCTGCACCCTCTGGGACCTCTGTTTCCTGTTTCTGTGCTGTCCCTCTCTATCTCCCCAACACCCTACTCACCCCTCCTGGGGCCACTCCAGCTACATCTGCTCTGGAAGCCATCTCCTGACTCCTGCTCCTCCCATGCACACACACGTGCACACATCACATACACACATGCATACATCACATACACACATGCATACAGGTACACTCACACTCACGTGCACACATGCATGCACACACACGCTCACACAGACACGCACACCCGCCCCGTATTCTCCGAGCTCCCTGTGCGTAGCCTCAGTTCGTCATGCGCTCCCAGGAGAAACAGGGACCTTCTCACCTGTCCCCTCCACAGACCAAGCTCTCTGCCACAAGGCCTGCGCCTCACTGGGTCCAGCCAGCTGGGGGATGGGAGAGTCAAACCCTGCTTGCTGAACTGATACAGATTCCTGACTCGACAAACACCACCTGCTGGGGATGTGGTTACAAAAGACAAAATGTGGAAAGCACTGGTGGATGGTATGACAAGTGCTTACTCAGCAAATCTCAGTCTGCTAAGACCACGGGGCTGGGGGTCCCCTGAAGTGTGAAAGAAGAAAGCTTGGGTATTACCTCTGGCCAAAACTGCCAACGGACGATATCCTTGCCCCTCAGACGCCCTTCATACTACTTCCGCTACTTCTAAAAACCTTTGCTATTTTATATAACAAGATCCTGTAACAAAAACAATACGAGTGCAACTGACAAGTAGAAGGTGCCGTTTTTGCTGGGACGGCAGGGCCAAGACCGCCCCCTGGTGGACAGTGGGGGAGGGACTCACAATCCCACTCCCAGAGGTGCCCAGGGGCTGTGACTGCAAGAGCAAGAAGCACAAAGGCCTGGCACCAGAGAACAGGGGGACAGCGTCGCACCTCAGCCACTCTGAGCATCACAAAGCCAGCAACACCAACACCCCAAGACCAGAAGGGGAAAGGCGGGCCAGAGGAGGACGCCCCATGCACAGCACCATCCTCGTCTCACAGATTCCTCCAACGTGGGCAAGCAAAAACCTTAACAATTTTGAATTAGCTGTAACTAAAGTGAGCGGTGTCTGTCACTGCTGTGAAACTCCTTCTAAGGGGAAACGCCCGCACAAGGTCCAACTGAGCGGTTCCAGGACAGAACAGGAACTCAGTGGTCTGCAGCCTGGGCCCACTCGTGGACAGAAGTCCCTCCAAGCGTCTGAAAGACACTCGACAAGACCACAGGAAGTCCCCGAGTACTGAGGACACACACCTCTCTCCGTTGATGAATAAACAGCTAAACAGTGGCAGCAGCTTAAACTTCTTCCAACCAGACACAGCCTGTTTTGTAATGATTAAAATTCTGGCTATAGACACCACGCAGCATGGAGCATGGTAGGTGAAAAAAGCAGAAATGACATTAGACAAACGGTCCCCTCTCACCCAATTGCCTCCAGAACAGGATTCAGCCCATGTTTCCTGAGAGCAGGTCCCTTCCACCAGAAACTCAATGGGGCTCTGAGGGGCCACAGGATAGAAACAGACGCAGAACCCCCGCGCCAGAGCTGTGCCTGGAGAGCCCCCCAAGGGCGGAGGGCAGAGGGAGCTCCCCAGCCAACAGGAGCGGCTCCACCTCCTGGGCACCCCCCTCCAGGGCTGGGGCAGCAAACCTTTCTGATCGTACTGGGGGGTTCACCCATCACGAATGTGTCGAAAGGACTTCATTACTCATAACTGTGAGAACACTAGCGCTTACAGACGCCTTGACTTAAAAGACGAAGTTTGCAGTGTTGAAAAGTTGTGATTACTGAAACCACGGGAACGCTCCCCAGGAGAGGGAGGGAAGGACGCCGAGGAAGCAGGAGCCACGGTTGCTTGGTTGCCTGGTGCTGGAGCTCCTTCTGCCTCCAGGCTACACCCCAGGGGAGTGGCCCGCAGGAGTGCTGGGGGACACCCAGAGGAAAGCACTGCTGTCCTTGAGGACCTCAGCACGGACACATGCACAGGATGCTAAAGTGGGCCTGTCACACAGAGCTGACCCTCTAAGCCCTGCTGGGAAGCCCTGCTCTGTCCCATGTTCCCTGACACACATGGGGCAAGCCCCTTCCCCAGGGAGCGGCAGGACCCTTCCCGAGGACCCCGCCGAGGCCCCAGCAGTTCCAGCCCCGCCCACTGCCTTGCCATTCTACACCAGGCTGCCTGGAGTCTTCACACACCCCTCCCTTCTCTCCACCAGTCGCCCTTCCCTCCCCTGTGCCCACCCCCTCACGAGATACCCAGCAGCTGAAGGACTCAGACCAGGTGTCCCCAGCACTGCCCTTGCCAATACCACTCAGGAAGGTGCCGTCTGTGTGTCTAGCCCAGGACACTGGACTCACACTTCGCTGGTCTGCAAACATCTTCCAGGCAACCAAGGGGGACCAGTGGTTCTTCCACCTCTGGACCCCAGGCGTGGAGCACAGTGGATGCTCACTCAGAAAGGCCCCCGGACGCCGGAGCACTGGGGTAGTTTCTAGAAGCCTGGTCAGCAGCCCTCGGTGGGAGGGCCTCTGGCCACATCGCCCTGATGTCTAATTTACATATTCTGGAGTAAACTGCTGAGCCACCTGTCCACGCTCCGTTCTCAAAAAATAAGCAGGAACACTTAGGAAAGACAGTTTCTGGCCCTGCGACCCAGAAAAGGGCAACTTAGCGAGCTCAGCTTCCAGCACGAGATTGGAGCAAAGGAAGAGCTGAGAAGTGCTGGCTAGGCACACACTCCTGTGCCAGGGAGACTGAGAGCAACCAAGGCAGACAGCCTGGTACCATCGCTGCTGTGACGGGCGAGAGAGGAGGCCAGGAGTCTGGGAGAGCCCTACCTGGGGGATGGAGGGGCTGCCCTCTCCCCTCTCTGTCCCCCTCTCTGCCCAGGCGCTGCCTCTCTGGGTCCCCCAGGGGCTAAGAACCCATGATCCTTGCAATGCTTCCCTGCAGGCCCTCCAGAGAGCGGGCCCACAGGACAGAGCCAGCCCAGGCTGGAGAGGTGTCTTCGTATGACCTTTAAATCACACTACCAAACAGTGCCCAGCACTGAGGCTGTGCTCACAAGGCTGTGCAATCTACCTTGCCGCACATGGGTGGGAGCACATCTCTCACATCTGGGACTCTCCGGCGTCCACCTGCTCTGCACCCGCTTCCCCGTCTGCAGTGAGGACAGGCACTGTCCTCGGGTCAAGCAGTGCACTCAGCACAGCGCCTTCCCACGGAAAACCCAAAGTGTCAGCTACTACGACTGCTCGTTCTTACAGTTGTGGTTACTCTCTTCACAACAGGCATCAAACAAAGTGTTGGATGACTCGAGGGGGCAGTTTGGCAACACGTGACAAAGCCAAAAACACAGCGTCACAGAGCCTGAGCCCCAGCAGTCCCAGGAAGTCACCCTTGGGAAGTTGCCCAGGAAGAACACAAAGACGTGCTGTGCATAAGAGATGACGGGGAGAGAGGAACAGGAGAGAAAATCAATGAAACCCAAAGCTGGTTCTTTGAAAAGATCAATAAAATGATAAACTTCTAGCAAGAAAGACAAAGGGAAAAAGACAGAAGACACAAAACACCAATATCTGAAAGGAAAAAGGGGAAGCACTACAGACCCTGCAGACATCAAAAGACTCCTAAGGGAATAGTACCAACTCTACTGCATAAATTCAACAACTTAGATCAAATGGACCAAACCCTCAAACCACAAACTCACCCAAGGTGAAAGATAATCTACAACATAACCATAACCTACAACTATAAAGAAACTGAATCTGTAGTTGAAAACCTTCTGAAAAAGAAACCTCCAGGCCCAGATGGCTACACTGGTGAATTCTACCAAACATTCAAGGAAGAGATAACACCAATTGTACACAATCTCCTCCAGGAAAGAGAGAGAAGGGAACATTTCCCAACTCATTCCAGGAGGCACTTTACCTTGATATCGAAACCAGACAAAGGCATTATAAGAAAACTATAGACCAATATTCCACATGAACATAAACATAAAAGTCCTCAACAAGATATTAGCAAATCCAATCCAGCAACGCATGCACAGAGCAAAACCCCATGACCAAGTGGGCTTACCAGGAATGCAAGGCAGGTTCAACGTTCAAAAATCAGCCACATTGACAGACTAAGGGAGAAAAACACATGATTGTATCAGTGGATACAGAAAAACCATACTACAAAGTTCAACATCCAGCATGATAAAAACTCTCAGCAAACTAGGAGTAGAAAGGGAATTTCCACAACTTTATTGATAAAGAACAGGTATTAAAAACCCTATAGCTAACATGATACTGAGCTGGAAGAGACTGCTTCTCCCTAAGATTGGGAAGAAGGCAAGCATGTCCGCTCTAAGGCAACAAAGAGAAACAAAAGGAAGAAATGAAACAGCCCCTACTTGTAGCCAACGTGCTTGTCTACACAGAAAATCCCAAGGAATCTATTAAAAAAACTCCTAGAACTAATAAGTAAGTTTAGCAAAGTCACAGGAAACAGGCCAACAACAGAACCCAACCATGTTTCTATATACTAGCAATGACCAATTGAAAACTGAATTTTAAAAAAATAGCATTTACAAAAGTTCTCTTTGGATCTTAGGCATACATCTAAAAAAATGCATAGGAGCTATATGCTGAAAACTACTGAACGCTGATGAAAGACATCAAAGAAAACCTAAATGAACTGAGAGACATATTGTGTTCATGGACTGAAAGACACAATGTAGTAAAAATGTTAACTACCCCCAAATTTATCAAGAGATTTAATATAATTCCAATCAAACCACAGCAGGAATTTTTGTAAATATACACAAACTTATTCTAAAATTGAGTGGAAAGGGAAAGGAACTACAATAGTTAATTCTGAAAAGGAAGAACAACACTGGAGGACTCACAGTATCCGATTTCAAGACTTACTACGAATGTCCAGTAGACAAGACAGTGTGGTGTAGACAAGGGAATTGGCCCTCTGATAGACGGGACAGAACAGGAGGCCCAGGAACAGACCTACCAAACATGGCCCAGGGATCTTTGCCAAAGGGGCAAACACAATTCCATAAAAGACGGCCTGTCAACAAATGGTGCTGAGACTCTGGACACCCACATGCACAAAATGAACCTCAACCTGCACAGCACACCTCATGGAAAACTTAAACTCAAGATGGTCATAGATCGAAATGTAAGATATAAAAAAATAAAACTTTTAGAAGAAAAACATTGTGACTTAGGGTGAGAAGATATCCTAGACATGACATAAAAAGTACAATCCATGGTGGGCCAGCCCTGGTGGCCTAGCGGTTAAGTTCAGTGCTCTGCTTCGACAGCCAGGGTTCAGTTCCCGGGTGCGGACCTACACTGCTCTGTTAGCGGCCATGCTGTGCTGGCCAGGCTCTCATAGTAAAAAAAAAAAAAAAAATAGAGTAAGATTGTCATGGATGTTAGCTCAGGGCAAATCTTCCTCAGGCAAAAAAAAAAAAAAAAAAAAAGGGCAATCTATGAAAAAAATTGATAAATTGGACTGCATCAAAATTTAAAACTTTTGCTCTGTGAATCACATATCCAACAAAAGACTTGTAACTAGAATATTTAAACAACACTCAAAACTCAACAGTAAGAAAACAAACAACCTGAACAAAAAATGAGCAAAAGACTCAAACAGACATTTCAGCAAAGAAAGAGGATTGAGGGACTGCAAATAAACATTAAAGCTGTTGAACATCACTAGGCAGTAGGGAGACGCAAATTAACACCGAGATGAGGCCCCGTGGATAGCCACTAGAATGATAAACAAAAAACACTGACGCCACCAAGTGCTGAAAGATGTGCAGCAACCAGTGAGAATGCAAAATGGCACAGCCATACTGACAACCAGTTTGACAGTTTCTTATGAAATTAAACATACAGCTACCATACGACCCAGCAACCCCACTCCTGGGTAACCACCCTAGAGAAACGAAAGCTTAGGTTCACATAAGAAGCTATACACGATGCTCTTAGCACCTCTATTCATAATCACCCTAAACTGACAAAACTCCGAAGTATCCTTCAACAAATCGTGGTTCACCCACATGATGGATGGACCACTACTCAGCCACAGGATGAACCAACACTCAGCCACAGGATGAAACACTACTCATCCACAGATGGACCAGCACTCAGCCACAGGACGGACCAGTACCGATACTCGCAACACCCTGAGCGAATCTCAAGAGGCCCTGGGCTGAGGGAAACACAACGCCCAAAGGCAGTAGTGTGATTCCATCTACTGGACGTTCCTGAAAAACAAAACCGTAGGGCGGAGAGCAGACCCGGCCGCCGGGGTAGGGTGGGGAGAGGGGGACAGTGAAGGGACAGCCCGCGGGAGACGCGGGGCCGCGGAACTCCCCTTGTCCTCACCGTGTGCTCACTGGACGCCACGTGAGGCCCGGCTCACCGTCGCCCCCTCGGAGCGCGGGCGGGGTCCCGGCCGGGCCGCCCCGCACGCATCGCGCCGCTCCTCTCCGAACCCCGAGTAAGGTCCACGCCGAGCCCCAGCCTCCCGCCCTCACCGCCGCCGCTCGGCGCCTGCCTCCGCTCCCCCGCCCGCCCGCGCGGACCCACCGTCCAGCGACACGAACTGGCCCACGGCCGACGAGCCGCCGCCGCTGTTCTCCACGAACTGCACCTCGGACACGATGATGTTGTCCTCGAGCACCGAGCCGCAGCCCGTGCACACCGCGTCGCCGCGCGCCGCGTCCAGCTCGATGTCCGTGCCGCCGCAACCGCGGCACACGCGGCCCGTCATGCCGGCGGCTCCGGGCGCGGGCTCGTCCGCCCGCCGGTTCCCCGGTTCCCGGCCCCGGTCCACACGTCTGCTGGTCAGCCGGCCCGCCCGCGCGTCCGCCGGGCCCGCCCGCAGCCCTGTCCGCGTCGCCCAGACTCTCGCGAGACCGCCGCCGCCGCTCAGCCCGCCGATTCGCAGCAGCAGATTCGCACCGCGCGCTGGGGTCGCGCCGCTCGCAACGGCTGCGCCCGTAAGACGGGGACGCACCCCAGGGCCGCGGCGGTGACCCGAGGACTCGAACCCGCGACCCCTTGGCCTGGGCACAGCCACCGAGCCTCGGAACAAAAAACACCCAGGCCTTGCAGGCTGCTCGCTAGCGTCCGGAGGAGGGTTCGGGTGGCCGGCGCGGGCGGGGCCGAGAGTTGTGGGTGGGGTCGGGGGGGGAACGCCTGGGGCTGTGGGCGGGGCCTGCTGACGGGAACCGGGCGTGGTGGGCGGGGCCTGGGAGCAAGAGCTATGGCGGGGCGGGGCGGGGCGAGGGGCGGGACCAGGAGCTGTAACGGGATATCTGGCGCCGGGCCTGAGACCGATCAGGAGCTGTGGGCGGGGCCTAGGGCGGGCCCTGGGACAGGACCTGGAGCTGTGAACCGGGTCTGGGGCGGGAGCAAGAGCTGTGGGCGGGGGTCGGGGTGAGGGTGGCCTGGGGCCGGGTCTGAGAAGCGGAGCTCAGGGGCCAGGCGGCGGGTCGAAGGCGGAGACCCCGGCCCGGGGGCCTTTGCCTGACGGTGCCGGGACACCTCCCTGCGACCCCTGTCCCCTGTTGTCTGTCCCCCTGAGACTCCCCACGTCCTGACAGTTACTTGTGCCACCTGTGGTTACCCGTGACAGTCACGTTTCTGTGTCCCCCCAGCCACGCGCACCCTCAAGTATCTGCAGTTGCCATTCACAGCCACAACACCCATGACATCCCTGAGAATAAGACTAAAAAGAAATGGGCAAGACTACATTTTTTTAAAACTCTAAACCTTAACTGTAGGACGTAACAGGAGCTCAAACTAAATCAGAAAACGTCCCATTCCCGCTTAGAAGCAAAGTTGTAAATACTCTTCACGAGTCAGTTTGTTAAATCGATTTAATCCCAATCAAAACGTCAACGAGATTTTCAAATAACTTGATAAGCTGATCCTAAAGTCATCTGGAAAAGATAATCCACAAGAACAGTCAAGAAAATTCTACAAGAAAAAACTCAAGGAGAGGAAAATTGCCCTTCTGTACATAAAAATGTTATATCAAATTACAGCCATTAAAACCACGTGGTATTTGACAGGGACAGACAAATGGACAAATGGAATAAAACCAGGAGTCCAGAAACAAACCCAAGTATACGTGGAAATTTAGGGGCCTCAAATCATTGAAGAAAAGATAGACTCTCCAATGGTGTTGGGATTTCCATTTAGAGGAGGAAAAGGGTAAATTGAATCCCAATGTCACGCTGTTCTAAAAATAAATTCCAAGTGGCATTAACAGCTAAAAGTAAAAACAAAACTGCAAGACTCCTGGAATCGAATACAAGAGGACGTGGTAAATCTCCAGTAGAAAGCTGTCATGAGTGGGAGGGCGGCTGGCATCTGAGCCCCTTCCTCAGTGTGCATCCTCCATCCTCTCCAGCACCAGTGCCTTGTCCAGCCTCCCTCACCACAGGGTGGGGGCAAGCAAGCCAGTGAAGCTGGAAAACAGTGCATGGATGGGTCATGATGACATGCAAAGCAGAAGGACCTGTCTGCTTTGAAAAGCCTAAACTAGTGGCTTTTCAATTTTTTAATAAAATTTCAAGCATACCTAAGAGTAGAGAGAAAATGGGAAAAGACTTAAGGAGCAATCACTCAGCCACACCAAATTTAGCATTTTCACATATTTGCTGTTTGGTTCATTTCTCTTTGTTTTCTTTGCCTTGTTTTGATTTGTTAGGTCTGGGTTGTGAAGAACACAGCCCCTGAGTCCCCCAGAGTCCATTCCCCTCCCTTGCTGCTCAAAGGTAACCACTACCCAGCCCTGGGTCATCATCAATGCCAAGCAAGTTTTTATACTATCCATGAACAATGGACACTATGGTTTCACACGTTTTAAAATTGTACATAAATGACCTCATACCTAACTTTCCGCAACTTGCTTTCCTTTCTCATCAATGTTTCTGAGACCTATTTACATTGAGACATTCCTTTTCGCTGCTATATAGTCTTTCCTTGGGAGAACAGAGCAGAATTTTTTTTATCAGTCTCGTGCTGAGGAAATCGAGGTTGCTGCAGTGACAATCCCTGTCTGTGCGCCCCTACTCCTCACTCTCCACACGCCCTGCACATGTCGATGTTCCCTGGGGAAGACTCTGGGGGCATCCCTGCGGTGCCGAGCATGGCGTACCCTCAACATAACTGCATATTGACAAATTGATCTCCAAAATTATTCTATGAAGTTACAGTCCTACAGTCCAATATTGCGCCATATTTTGGCCAACTTTTGGTGCATAACAAATTACCACAAAACTTAGCTTAAAATGACAAATATTTATGTCAACTAGATTTATGTCAACTAGCCTGTTATTTTACCTCAAAATGAGTTTATTTTAGAATAGCCAAAACAATCACAATTTGGGATGTGTGTGCTATGGCAAGCCATAGGCAAATCCAGCAAAGTAGGGGAGCTGCTTTTATAGAGAAAAAGGGGGAGCAGGGAGGGGCCTGTAGAGGAAAGTCCATTGGGGGAAAGTAGCAGTTTAGGGCAGCAGTGGCTTCTCATTGGCTGAGCTGTGGGGTTTCTCATTGGGGGAGCTGCAGTGTTTCTCATTGCCTGAGCTGCAGTGGTTCTCATTGGCTGGTGTGTTGCCAGGTGAGGAGAGAAATCTTCCTTCAGTAGTAGAGCAGTTTTACAACCTGTCTGAGATGCAAGCCTCAGTCTCTTTCTGTTTGGTGTAATTGACGTCATGTGATCCGCTGTGAGAGCCCCCCCGCCCCCCCACAGGCCGTTGGAATCTAGTTTTGTTGAGGTTTCTTTTATTAATTTCGCATGTATGATTCTGCAGTTTCTGAGTGTCAGGATGTGGGAGAGGCTTAGGGATGGTTCTGACTCACGGTCTCTGGGAGGTGCAATTCATGGGCCAGGGCTGCAGTCCTCTGAAGACCTGAGTGGACCTGGAGGGTTGAATGGCTGTGGTGTGGCCTGGACTCCCCAGCAGTGGGCCTCCCACTGCGCTGCGGGACTGTCCTCCCTGCCTGGTGGCAGGCTGCCCCACAGCAATGAGCAAGAGCCAGGCAGATGGGCTTTGATGATGACCACTCACTCCTCCAGCTCCATGTGTAAGTCCAGGCACACTTGGGTGGGGGTGGGGTGAACCCACTTCTTGGAGGAGGAAGACTGGAAACACGTGCTGAAAGCACATGCACCGCACACACGAGTGCACACGCTGGACGTCCATCTGGGGCAGGCGCTCAGACCAGGAGAGCGGCCTCAGGCCAGAGCAGACCAGCGCAGGCCCCACGCCACGGGGACAGATGCTGGAGATGCAGCCCCGAGAGTGTGTCACCGCCACAGAGGGTAAATGGTCAGAGAACCAGGCGGCCGCGAAGAGACGAGCACTGTGGCTCTCTCCCTGCCACCTGCCATGGATGTAGAGAAAGGGGAGGCTGACCAGGTGTGCAATGGGGCTCCCACCCAGAGTAAGAGCTGTGGGCGTTCAGCCCCCACACTCTAGGACAGCTGCCCGCTCTCCAAGACCCCCGCAGTCCAGGCGGGACGGGGCTGGACCCCGGCGGCCTCCTTGCAGGGCGTTCTGGGAGCAGAAGGCTGTTCTCCCCGTCCCGCGGGAGGGGAGTGGGCATCGTCCAGCTGGCGCCTGTGACGGGGAGCGCCGGGGGCGGGGGCCGGGGGCCTGGAGATGGGGCGCGGAGGAGGGGGCCTCCCTCTCAGCCTGGCCAGGGGCTGACCGCTCTGCGGACACCCACAGGGCCGAGAGGTGCTGCCCTCGGGGTGAGGGCGGTGAGAGAGGGCGTGGGGAGCTGGACATGCGGCCCAGCGTGGGGCGCACAAGGGACACTGCAGCCTGGCCGCTGCCCTGGGAGGTGGGGGCGCTGGGGGAGCAGCGGGCGGCTGGAGACGGGAGGGGCCGGCAGGAGCGGAGCACTGCGGGACGCAGATACAGAGTTCTAGGCAGGCGGTCATTTTCCTTCAGCACATTCCAGGTCGTTCTACTGTCTTCTTGCTCCCATCATTTCTGTTGAAAAAGTCTGCTTTGAATCTTTGTGTTGCACTTTAAAGATAATGTACCATTTTTTTTCCTGGATGCCTTTAAAATTCTTATTGTCAGCAGTTTTACTACGATGTTCCTAGGTGTATTTTCTTTGTATTTATGCTAATTAAAATTCATGAGCTTCTTGAATCCATGTCTTTTTGTCTCTATGTACGTGTACATGTACATGTACAAAATTTCCTTATGTCCTGAGTCCACTGACTGAATAACACCTTACCCTCGGTTTTTTTTTTAATTCTTGGCCAAAATTGTTCAAATATTGCTTCTGGGCAGTGCTCTCTCATGCCTTTCTTTCTGGGATTCCAATTACAGCTCTGTTGGATTTTGACTAGGTCCTGTATGCTTCATACTCTGCTCTGTATTTTTACTCCCTTTTCCCTTCATGCTTCCATCTGGGGATTTTCTGTTTACCTAGTTTCCCTTTCCCTAATCCTCTCTTCTGCTGTGTGTAATCTGCTTTTAAAACCATCTATTCAATTGTTGAGTTCAGTTATTTTATATTTCTCTTCTAGAATTTCCATTTGATTCTTTTTCTTTCTCTGATGAGATTCTCCATTTTTTCATTTATTTTCTTGAACATATTAATCACATTTTAAGGTTCATTCTAATAATTCCAATGTCTAGTGACCTATAGATTTATGTCTGTTTGTTCTTGGTTTATGCGAGCCTGTGTCCTGGCACAACTGGTAATTTTGGAATAAATGATGACCATTGTGAAGAAAAACTGTGAGGCTCTGGGAGATGTGTTTGTTATTCAGAGAGAATTTATTTTTCTTCCGTCAATCAAACAGTGCAGGGGCCCATATCTTGGTATAATCCGGCTTTG